TCCAACGCGTGGATATTCAACGCGTAGTAGTCCAACGCGTGGATATTCAACGCGTAGTAGTCCAACGCGTAGTATTCTAGCGCGTGGATATTTAACGCGTAGTAATACAACGCGTAGTAATCCAGCGTGTGGATATCCAACGCGTAGTGAGCCAACGCATGGATATTCCACTCGTAGTAGTCCAACGCGTAGTATTCTAGCGTGTGGATATTCAACGCGTAGTAATACAACGCGTGGTAATTCTAAGCGTAGGAATCTGACGCGTGGTAATCTAACGCGTAGTTATCCAACGCGTAACAATCCAGCGTGTGGTAATCTAACTTATAGTTACACAGACTACACCATGTATTCACCAGTAAAGCATTCATTTAACCACTTTGATAGTTTCAATGTTACAGTAATATTAAAATTTGTATATTCCCATATCCATCTATGAACGTCTCGATAATTTATGAACAAAGCATTACGGTCGGAACGCATCGAGTGTCCAGATCGTGTCTTTGTAATTTCGAATCACATTTAAGCAGTGCATCCCGTTCCGAAGTAATTCAACTTGGTTTTTTCTCCAGCGATTTTATCGTCCGAAAGCAACTAATGAAACGTCTCGTCTTTAACGAACCACTCCGTGCACGCATACATAGAATGTATCCTTTGAAGGATCACAAAACTTCGCGGACCAATTGAACTGCCTGCAGTCGTTGAATCCTAATTACCATTTCACCGAGTTTTTTGTTTCGCTTTGCCGATCGGTTGCAGATTATTTGTTTGCTGGCTTTAATAATCCTGTCACGGTGAAACTTTCTCAGGATATATCGTTACGATTTCTAGAGTGACCCACCTGGGAACGGGGAACTTTTACAACGTTGATTGGCGCGGAAACAAGCGTTTCTAGCAGTGCACTGTAATTACTCTAATGTGACGATTCGGAATACTTGAAAACGTTCTTTTCTATCATTGAATTCCTTTTCGTCTTCATTGCTTAAATCCCTCTGGCTAATTAATGAAATCGAATAAAAGTCCACTTTAATATATTAACTGTCGTGAGAGTCGGCAAGGGAGTAATGGGAAAGGACCGATAATTGGAAAATATGGCTGTTTAATCTCCGGTACGAAGCTTTCAATTTGTTATTTTATAAATTATTTGATAAATTTACATTCGACGAGCACCGTGGTAATAAACGCGTTAACGACCATCGATCCATGGATCCTTCGGGTATATTGCGAAACTTTGACATCGCCTTCGGTGACGTTCCTCTTACTCGTAATTATCCCGCTAATAAATACCATGTTCGACGAATAGGCGTTGATTTACGACGGTAGCCCGTTCGGACAGCCCTGACAGCGTTTTCGACGTTAAAAAATGTCTGCGTTAGCGCACTGCCTTTGTCGCGTGCCCACGCAAACAAACCAATTATCGGCAAGATCGTGTTTCTGATCTGATGAATGACAAACACTGAAAGCTATAATTATACTATTTCACCCTACTGTAGCTTTAAATTTTTCATAATTTCACGTTTAAGGTGCAGTCACTTTTAATGTACGCTGAAGTTGTGGTCGTATGGGGTACATATTGGGGTTAAAGGATTATAGTCACTTTTGAGGTTAAAGGATTATAGTCACTTTTGAGGTTAAAGGATTATAGTCACTTTTGAGGTTGAAGGATTATAGTCACTTTTGAGGTTAAAGGATTATAGTCACTGCTGAGGTTCAGTGACTATAGTTATTTCACATGGTTAAACAGTTATAATCACTGTTGAGGTTAAATGATTATAGTCACTGTTGAGGTTCAGTGATTATAATCATTTCAGGTGATTAAGATATTATCGTCACCTTTGAGGTAAAATGATTACAGTCACTGTTGAGGTTCAATGATTTTAGTCATTTCAGATGGTTAAATGGTTATAGTTATTGTTGATGTTCAATGATCACAGTCATTGTTGAGGTTCAATGATTATAGTCATTTCACATGGTTAAATGATTATAGTCATTGTTGGGTTTCAATGATTATAGTCATTTCAGATTGTTAAATGATGATAATCATTTCAGATTGTTAAATGATTATAATCATTTCACATTGTTAAATGATTATAGTCACTGTTGAAGTTCAATGATCACGGTCATTGTTGAGGTTCAACGATTATAGTCATTTCAGATTGTTAAATGATTATAATCTTTTCAGATTGTTAAATGATTATAGTTATTGTTGAAGTTCAATGATTATAGTCATTGTCAAGGTTCAATGATTATAGTCATTGTTGAAATTCAATGGTTATAGTCATTGTTGAGGTTCAACGATTATAGTCATTGTTGAGATTTAATGGTTATAGTCATTGTTGAGGTTCAACGATTATAGTCATTGTTGAGATTTAATGGTTATAGTCATTGTTGAGGTTCAACGATTATAGTCATTGTTGAGATTTAATGGTTATAGTCATTGTTGAGGTTCAACGATTATAGTCATTGTTGAGATTTAATGGTTATAGTCATTGTTGAGGTTCAACGATTATAGTCATTGTTGAGATTTAATGGTTATAGTCATTGTTGAGGTTCAACGATTATAGTCATTGTTGAGATTTAATGGTTATAGTCATTGTTGAGGTTCAACGATTATAGTCATTGTTGAGATTTAATGGTTATAGTCATTGTTGAGGTTCAACGATTATAGTCATTGTTGAGATTTAATGGTTATAGTCATTGTTGAGGTTCAACGATTATAGTCATTGTTGAGATTCAATGATTATAGTCATTGTTGAGGTTCAATGATTATAATCATTGTTGATATTCAATGATAATAGTCACTTTTGAGGTTAGATGATTATAGTCACATCTGAGGTTAACATTTAAGTTTGACGTTATGCGACTTCAACCCTATACTCACATGGAATTTTCTTTTGTTACAGACGGAACAATTCACGGTGTTATGGTTGCTGTTCGCGATGATAGTCGTGGGCAACATAGCGGTGTTAATTGGCCTCCTCTGGGGCAAACGTCGAAAGACGAGGATGGACTTTTTCATCAAGCAACTGGCGTTCGCGGGTAAGTCGTTTTACCGATACTCGGGAAATTCTGACGAGAAGTCGATTCGATAACTGCAAACTTTCTACTTTCATCGTGATAACCGAACGTAAAACTTGTCGCACATCGAATAGGATACTTTTAACTTCAATTTCCGTCCCCGTTGTTTCTCAAGTACCAGACCATTAAATTTACTACTTCTTCCAAGTACTTTGCAACTACGCGTCTCGCGAACGAGCTGATTCTTATGCTTCTAGAGAATGTGAGAACCGAAGGATATTGATTTTTATGCATTTAAACCTTGAGAACTATATTTCACATTCCTGGGTGCTGTGGATCTAACGATTCTCTTATTCGTAAAAGTTTTAAAAACCGGTGCTCAGAAACACTTGGCTTCTTTGGTGCTGCAAGAACTGGTTTAGTAATGGATTTCCATTTTGTAGTAAATAAATTGATAGTTCGTTGTCCATCTGTGACGACATTTTTGAAGATGAACAATATGTATACCTAATTAAACAATTACTAGCGACAGTAAATTAACCTAACCTCCAAACCATTTCAGGACATACATTACACCCTAAATCTAACAACTCCAATGTAACATTTCAGAATTGGAAATACCATCAGAATCGAACATTTCAGATTTCTATTCTTATCAATATTTTTATCTCTGCGCAGTATACTTTAGAAACATGGAAATTGAATCGATCAGAAAATGGATTTCGTGTCGCTACGCGCGCCATTTTGTACATTAAATCCTCGCCGTCGAAACGCGATATCAGCTCCACTTCTTTTTATATTTTATATAATCTCCCCGGAGCAGAAACACGGACCGCTTACAAATTGGAATTTTACAGCATGTCCACAAGATTGTTCGCTTTTCATTTACGACAAATCGGATTTCGTCGTTATTCGCTCGTAAAGGATCGCGAATTTCGACAGCTTTCGGCCACCGGTTTCCACCGTTTAATTGCACGTTCCACGTATTCGCATATAAACGACCCATCCGGCTTTAAGCACAGACATTACCGACAATATCGTGTCTCCGATGTCTTTCATTTCACACGGAAACACGTTTCTTGATATTGTTTTAATTTTCCCTTTTTATTCATCTCTTTATAATGATCGCTTATTTCTGCCTTTCGGTATGTTAAACGTCTTCATTTTCGGGCCGATGCCGAACTTTTATTTCTTTCTGGGTACCAGAATTGCTGTATTTCGTCGACGTTACGAGAGACGCTGACACGTACGATTTTATTCCGCCAGCTGTAATTCGAAAACTAATTTGCAGGTTAATTTGTATTACTTTAAAAATTTCGATTTCAAAAGTCATTTTTCGGGTAAGAAATTCTTAGGTAATTTTAATAAATTACGTCTTTCTGAAGAATTTAAAAAATAATTTACTATAATTTATATATTTACATATTGTAATTTTGAATTATTTATATATTCACATATTATAATTTTGAAATAGTATTTATTTACGTTAAACAGGTAGAGTAGTAATTTTAGGAATCATAAATTTCCACGCGTGGAATTCTTAGCGCGCCAAGTCTCCACGCGTGGAATTCTCAGCGCGCCAAATTTCTACGCGTGGAATTCTCAGCGCGCCAAATTTCTACGCGTAGAATTCACAGCGCGCTAAATCTCCACGCGTGGAATTCTCTGCGCGCCAAATTTCCATGCGTGGAATTCTCAGCGCGCCAAGTTTCCACGCGTGGAATTCTCAGCGCGCTAAATTTCCACGCGTGGAATTCTCAGCGCGCTAAATTTCCACGCGTGGAATTCTCAGCGCGCTAAATTTCCACGCGTGGAATTCTCAGCGCGCTAAATTTCCACGCGTGGAATTCTCAGCGCGCTAAATTTCCACGCGTGGAATTCTCAGCGCGCTAAATTTCCACGCGTGGAATTCTCAGCGCGCTAAATTTCCACGCGTGGAATTCTCAGCGCGCTAAATTTCCACGCGTGGAATTCTCAGCGCGCTAAATTTCCACGCGTGGAATTCTCAGCGCGCTAAATTTCCACGCGTGGAATTCTCAGCGCGCTAAATTTCCACGCGTGGAATTCTCAGCGCGCTAAATTTCCACGCGTGGAATTCTCAGCGCGCTAAATTTCCACGCGTGGAATTCTCAGCGCGCTAAATTTCCACGCGTGGAATTCTCAGCGCGCTAAATTTCCACGCGTGGAATTCTCAGCGCGCTAAATTTCCACGCGTGGAATTCTCAGCGCGCTAAATTTCCACGCGTGGAATTCTCAGCGCGCTAAATTTCCACGCGTGGAATTCTCAGCGCGCTAAATTTCCACGCGTGGAATTCTCAGCGCGCCAAATTTCTACGCGTGGAATTCTCAACGCGCCAAATCTCCACGCGTGGAATTCTCTGCGCGCCAAATTTCCATGCGTGGAATTCTCAGCGCGCCAAGTGTCGACGCGTGGAATTCTCAGCGCGCCAAATTTTTTCTTATAAAAATTACTCCCAAGGTGTATATTTCGATCCAAAGAGTACGAAAATGCTACAAATCCCCTAATAAGACAAATCTTTTGTCTCTGTTCACCGCAATCGTTTCTTTTTCCGCTTCATTTTTTCCGCAGCACTTTTCTCGACCCAGTTCCCTTCCACAGAAGAGTGGTCACGATAAAGCGATTCCGTGAAGAATAGAGGGTAAAAGATAGCAAACGATTTCACCCTAGTTTTTGCTTTGTTTCTTCTACAGGGACCAAGAATTCGTTGCTCGATTTCCTCCTTCCGATAGACGCGAGTGTATTGTATCGATAGCGTTTACGAGCTTGCGGGTCGTTGTCGAACGAACAAGCGAACTTTAACGTTCGATGCTTACAACCTAAATCTTCCTCGTATTTTTACGAATTTTTCCCAATACTTTTTACGAGCCACCTTTCATTTTAGAAATTGCTTCTGTCGATCGATTCGATCCTTGTTTGAACTCAGATTTTTATTAATTCCATAACCTACAATTTTATGGGGAGCCATTCATTGCTAGCTAATCATAGACGGACAAAGAGCTATTCTTTTTTGACTTCTTTATACAACTTCTAAGACTCCTTCAACAATGAGTTACTAATAATCCCAGAACTGAAGAATCTAAAAATCCAGGAACCTACAAATCTTCAAAGTTGTTTAATTTATAAAAGAAATAGATAGCGAAAGTGATTACCAACCCATCGGTGACGATAAGTCTAAATCGAGTTTCAATATCTAGAGAAATGTACCGTCAGGGTAGCGTTCGAATCGCAAGGGAACCCGTAAAAGATGAAATCTCATCACGAAGGGTTTTTTTTTACGACTGACCGAATGGCACATCTAGACTCGATACGATATCCCTTTAAACTGCTTCTTTATGAGCCTTCTCGCCACACGGAATATCACGCGCCTCGTAAAATGCGTGCTTTCGGTGCTGTCGTTCGTACAAAGTGGGTAACTATCGCGATTTGTTGCAATTAAACTACCCGCCATTCAACATAAGTTTAGGGACAATATTGCCTTCATCCTCACTGCTCAGAAATCTTTCAGGAAATATTTCTCATATTATTTTTAGATGAATTAGCATTTAACTCTTTAACAATGTGTACTTTTTATAAAATGAAAATAAGCTTCAATCTAATTTGCATATAATCTTGTTACTATAAAAAATTTTGTTCTTGTATTTATTTTATTTTTAGTGGTATATAAACCACAGCCTTTATTAGGAAAAATTAGCTTGTTCATGTACCACATGCCTTTGGTCATAATTTTAGCATGTGGTTTACAAACCGCACCCCCAGTGAGGGTTAATTACCAAGGCACGAGACGTGATATAGACATTATATTTGACGTCGATACTCAACATAAAATAAGGGGATAGTACACGATATTATTATAATAAATAAGAGGACAGCTTCTGACAATACATCTTATAATAAGATAAATCTTGCAAATACATCTTACAATACAGTAAATAAATCTTGTAAGTTCATCTTATAACAACATAAATACATCTTGTAAATGCATCCTATAATAAAATAAATACATCTTGTAAATACATCTTACAAATACATCTTACAATAAAATAAATAAATCTTGTAAATACATCTTACAAATACATCTTCCGATAAAAAAAATAAATCTTGTAAAAACATCTCACTTCCAAAACACCGCAATCACAACAAATAAAATAAAAATTTCACCCAGATCGAGAACACTCAACCACCGAATAAATCGTATCATTAGCGAACACCGAAAGAGGGTTAACGAACCGTGCTTTTTCTAGACCGTTCATTCATTCGTGAATTAAGTGGTCGTTGGTCGGAAAGCTGTTACAATAATAGAAACTGCTTTAATAGCCAATGAATCACGTTGCTCAGTTGCATATCTTGTTGCAGATTTATTGGTCGGCCTGATCTCCGTGTTGACGGATATAATTTGGAGAACGACGGTGACTTGGCACGCCGGTAACGTCGCCTGCAAGCTGATAAGATTCATGCAAGCTGTTGTGACCTACAGCTCTACCTACGTTCTCGTCGCGTTGTCGATCGACAGATACGATGCCATCACCAGACCGATGAATTTCACTGGCAGGTGTAAGTACATTATGACCTAGATTCTGTCAAATTGAAATCGCATAAATAACTCTTGCACTCCTTTCCGACGGGTAAACACCTTGTCAATCAGGAACATCTGATACCTTCGCTTTAACTCCACTTTCGGATTTATTGCCTTACATATGTTTTAATAATGCATGACGGAAATTAGTTTTAATCTTGTTTTATGGGGGAGTGAATGAATTGATGATATTTGTGCGTGGAAATTCGGGGTGTAGAGATTTGGCGCGCTGAGAATTTGACGCGTGGAAATTTGATGCGTTGAGAATTTCACGCGTGGAAATTTGGTGCGTTGAGAATTCTACGCGTTGAGAATTCCATGCGTGGAAATTTGGCGGGCTGAGAATTCTACGCATTGAGAATTTCTCGCGTAGAAATTTGGAGCGTTGAGAAATCTACGCGTTGAGAATTCCACGCGTGGAAATTTGGCGCGCTGAGAATTCGACGCATTGAGAATTCCACGCGTGGAAATTTGGCGCGTTGAGAATTCTACGCGTTGAGAATTCCACGCGTGGAAATTTGGCGCGTTGAAAATTCGGTGCGTTGAGAATTCTATGCGTGGAAATTCGGCGCGTGGAAATTTGGTGCGCTGAGAATTCCATGCGTGGAAATTCAACGCATTGAGAATTCCACGCGTGGAAATTCAACGCATTGAGAATTCCACGCGTGGAAATTTGACGCGTAGAAAATTCGACGCGTGGAAATTCGGTGCGTTGAGAATTCCACGCGTGGAGACTTGCCGCACTAAGAATTCTTAGCATAGAAATTTGTAGCACAAGAATTCTTTGCGCAGAAATTCGACGCGAAATTCATCGCACAAAGTAGTGGATACAAAACAAATTTTCATCTCCAATTTAACATACCACTGAATCAAATAATAGCCGCGCAATTCACATCAGGCAATATTCCGTATACATTACCAAGGCATTTACAGTTAAAAGGGTTAATATCTTCCGCTTAGCTCGAAATTTGCTCCAAGGTGCTCATCCCAGCGAACTGCCGCATAATTTAAACTTAATCTTACGAAGCTACGGCAAAAGCAGCGATTTCGTACAGTTTGATTAACACCCACGATACGGCATATAATATTATGCATATATGTACATACGTATGTACGTACGTCGTGGTATTACGTATTCATGTAACAGCTCGATTTCCACGTAAACGGGACAGCTTTGACGTATTAGTAACGAGGGTAACTTGTAGTTGTATCAAAGTGACGTACGATTTCGGGAACTTTCTTTATTACATGGAACGCGTACTTGCACACCTTTTTCTCGTTTTCCTCTATAGCCAGCTGTCGCTGAAGTTTCGCGGCTGAGGAAACGAGGAAACTTGGGGACGCGGAACTTTCCACCAAACTTATGTGCATCTGTTCATTCTCTTTAGATCGTAAAATCAGCCCTGATATTCTACAGGGTGTCTCGCAACTAGTGTAGGTCTCTGAGGGTAGCTGACGTGATTCTGAATAAGATTTTCTTTTGCAAAAATGGGGTGCGAAGCTTCGTTTTTGAATTATTAAGGAAAAATATGCGAAAATAACGCGTGGTAATCCAACGCATGATAATTCGACGTGTAGTAATGCAACGTGTGGTAATCCTACGCGTAGTAATCCAGCGTGGGAATATCAAACGCGTAGTGATCCAGCGCGTGGATATGCAACGCATGGTAGACCAACGCGTAGTAATGCAACGCGTGGTAATTCTAAGCGTAGGAATCTAACGCGTGGTAATCTAACGCGCAGTTACACAGACTACCCATTTCAAGGACCTACGCTACTTGTGAGACACCCTGTATACTGTGTGTCGCTGAACCGCGTATCTAATAATATTTGAACCTACAACATTTTCAAGCCATATCGTCTAGAAATTTTCAAACCACATCACCTAGAAATTTTCAATTTTGGTTAACAGGGTGGAGAGCCAGGGCTCTGGTCATCGCTGCCTGGAGTTTGTCAGCATTGTTCAGTGTTCCAATAATTTTCCTGTACGAGGAGAGACGCATACAGGTAACAAACGTCACACTTATCAGCAAACTATAATTGAGACCAAAGAGTTAATCATCCGTGAACAGAGTCATTGTCGTGACACAATGAAGTCGATTATTACTGTTTACTCCCTGACGCTGACACGATGTTCGTGAAACGTTGTTATAGCACATTCTGCTATAATGATTAACCCCTTGCACAATATATTTGCCAAATGCGTCAATCAAAACTAACTAGTCACAGCTATAATATTAAAACAAATAAAGAAAATTTTAATGTTGTTTGAAAATTAAAATACAACTATGCATATAGTCAGAGCTAAATACTTTCGTATCTTATGGTTGGACCTAAGAAGTTGAAAAGTATTACAAATTTCAACAGGGCTTGTCACATTTGAACTATGAGTACATCACGAGTGAGACTCGTCAAAGTATAGCAAGGGGTTATATTCAAATTACTGAAAGAATTCGGTGATCAAGAAACTAGTTAAATCTTTTGCCTCAATTTTCCCTGCATTATAGACCCATTATAGAAGTGTTTCTTAAATGACCCGCCACACGTGTATCTTTCTTTGTAAATTGGTCGTACTACGAGCATAATCGGCAGGATCGTTTACCAGGGGAAGACTCAGTGCTGGATTGACCTGGGCTCTCCGTTGCAGTGGAGGATCTACATGAGCCTGGTCAGCTTTACCCTCTTTATAGCACCTGCTCTGATCATAGGAGGGTGTTACGCTGTGATCGTAGCTACTATATGGTCGCAAGGAGGAGCATTACGTCAGGGACCTACCAGGGACACCAGAAGGGCGTCCTCTAGGGGACTCATCCCTCGGGCGAAGGTCAAAACCGTCAAAATGACTCTCGTCATAGTATTCGGTAAGGGTCACTCACTTTTTTTCCAGAATATCATCCAAATATCATCACTTTTTCCTCAGGACATTTCATACATTTATTATGGAATATCTCTTACTAGTTTAATACACTTTTCAAGTTCGTTGAGGGATCATAATGTGAACTTATTAATTTCCAAACTGCAATTAACTGTTATTGAACTGTAGAAGGAAACAAAGAGAGAAGTCACCACTTTGCGATACTTGCAAAGTGTCGAGCAATTGAAAGTCGTCTAATACTGTTTAACTTCGCTTACTTATAGCTGCGAGTTTAATTAAAGCCCGTGTTAGACTGTTACAAAGTAGAACTCCTCAATTTTAACGCAGCTACATTTCTCAATCCTAAATATTCATAAAAATAAAAATTTTTGTTGTGATCTTCACAAATGTGAGATCATAAACTTGTAAAATTCTGAGGCTGAAAATTTGACTGTAAATTATATTAAAAATATTGTATGGAAGTTTACGTATTTCCATGATATGTAAAACTAAAGCTAGTGAAACAAAGCTCATGAGCTTGTAAAATTCTAAGACTGCAAAATTCACTGTAAATGATATAAAAGGTTTCCATAACAGAACTAAAGCAAGTAGAACAAAGCTAATGAACTTGTAAAATTCTAGGACTAGCAAAGTTGCCTCTAAATTATATAAAAAATATTATATGAAAATTTACGTATTTCCATGACACGTAAAATTAAAGCTACTGAAACACAGTTCATGAAATTGTAAAATTCTAAAACTACAAAATTGACTCTTGATACGAAAAATATTATATGAAAGTACATCCATGATACATAAAGCAAGTGAAATCCTTAGAAACAAATATTACTCCAAAATCTAGAACGATTTTCAATAAACTTCAGTTTCCCCTTTCCAATTTAAAATTTGGTTACTTCTTTCCGTCCGAACGGCGGGAAATGGCTCCGCGGATTTTACGAGCAGCAAATAACGTAGGAGATCGAAGGGATTTATTTGCTCGCGGTAAGTAACCTCGGGACATCGAGGAAGAGATGACGAATCCGAGTTGTATTTGTCAAGCACCGTGTACAAGTTTCGAGTTTCTTGTCGCTCAAAGCGCCATCGTCTCCTCGCTTTATTCCTCGAGGGAACGGGTTTACGTGTGCCACGGATTGCCTGGACTAATCAGATTCGCTTGCCGACGATTCTTGGACAGAAAATTTCTTCTTTTTCAGCTCTCGGAGATCGTTTCGAGAGAAACGGATCAAACGACGATGGCCGGCGCGTTTCAAACGACTCCCCTTGGCGCGCTTCGGAACCGAGGAAACTATAAAAATGAATACCTCTTGCGTATAATCTTCTCCGATGGAATCTGCCGATCTTCTTTGCAAACGTTTCAGATAACTAGCTTTGTGGATTTATATGTTTATTATATGCAATGCTCTTTCAGAGGGAAATGCTCGTAGTGAAACTTTCACAGTTTCGTGCGTCGAATTTTCAAGGCGCCAAATTTTCACGCGTTGAAACCCTACGCGCCGAATTTCTGCGCGTCGAATTCTCAACGCGCCAAATACCCACGCGTCGAATTTTCAACGCGCCGAATTTCCACGCGTGGAATTCTCAACGCGCCGAATTCTCAGCGCTCCAAACTTCCATGCATCGAATTTTCAACACGTGGAATTCTCAGCGCGCCAATTCTCAGCGCTCCAAATTTCCACGCATCGAATTTTCAACGCGTGGAATTCTCAGCGTACCAAGTCTCCACGCATCCAATTCTCAACGCGCCAAATTTCCACGCATCGAATTCTCAACGCGTCGAACTCTCAGCGCGCCAAGTCTCCACGCGTGGAATTCTCAGCACACCAAGTCTCCACGCGTGGAATTTTCAGCGCGCCAAATTTCCACGCGTGGAATTCTCAACGCGCCGAATTTCCACGCGTAGAATTCTCAACGCGCAAAATTTCCACGCGTGGAATTCTGAACGCGCCGAATTTCCACGCATCGAATTCTGAACGCGCCAAATTTCTACGTGTTGAGTCCCTACGCGCCGAATTTCCACGCGTCGAATCCCTACACGCCGAATTTCTACGCTTCGAATTCTCAACGTGCCAAATTTCCACGCGTCGAGTTCACAGTGAACATTGAAACAGTTTCTGAAGATTATGCTTCTTTATGTCACCGAATAAATATAGTCGAAACCTAACATTTGTGTTACTTTTGTTGCACTGTTTAAACGTTCTAATTTCTACCGACGTACCGAAACAGAATTAAGTGGTTATTGTGGAAACACGTGCGACGAGCACTGGCCCACAAACCCTTGAACAATGGTCAACGATTCGAAACCACAGTACGCGTTCATCGTTTACACAGAAGGTTTAGTACAATGAAACGATTCATTCCCTGCTTTTACCTCGTTTCGATCGGCCATTAGCGATGCAGCCCCGTTGGAAGTGATCGTTAAAGAACCCGATTTGCGTCTGGTTTAAATTATCTTTCGCCTGGATCTCATGGAGATCGAATACGTATTCGAAATAACGTGTCATAATAACTGAAATGAGATATGCGTTGGGAGAAGAATTGGAGATCAAATTGCGATGAAGAATTCGAGCTCGTTAGACGTCGAAATAGACTTCGAGACTCTTGAGAAGATCTCTAAGCTAGGTGTAAGGTTCCGAAGCATTCTCCGACAATTTCTTCGTCTTTCTGCGCGAAAAGTTGGATTCTCGTTATCCGCAATTGCTTCCGATTATTCCTTCGCCGGCATCTGCTATTGGATCATCTAATTTAAGCTTTTAATCCATTCTCCGATGTCTTTCTTAATCAGTCGCTTTATTCCTGTTTGCTGAGACAACATAACCTAAACTTTTCATCATCTCGCATCTTGTTATAAAACAATTTCAGTCTGAAATTTCTAATTCCTCTTCTATTATTTTTAGTGGAGATCAGTTCTCGACTGTTTATTCATTTTGGTAGTTTAGATGTTTGATTTTTGGGAAGCTCTTTTAAATATTTTCGTCTTTGAATCTTGACACTAAAACTACCAACCCAAATGACTGCTCCACAAGTTTCTTATTATGAGGTATTTCCTTATTCCTTGAAATCAGTATTGATTTTCGTCAGATAAAGAATAAATGTAGTAATTTATGTTTCGTTTGTTTATTTATTTTTCGATTTCATTTTCAATTTCAAACTAAATACATATTATAGGTTTAGCATTAAGAGTAGTACCAATTTAAGTAATCTCAGTTTAATGAGTGAAGAAGACAGTCAAAAAAGAAATGTATTCAGACAGGAAGATAACATGAAATATTTGAGAATGACACATTGATGATACTAAAGAGATTAAGTGTTTTATATGACTCATACGGTGCGTCATGGATTGAAAAAGAAAAATAACATCAAAGATTATATCATTTTTTTGAACCCCTATCTAGATCATCAAATATAAAATTGTTCTACCATTTTGTCTGTTTCAGTATTCATCCTATGTTGGAGTCCATACATAGTGTTCGATCTGCTACAAGTCTACGGCTACGTGCCAGAAACTCAAACCAACATCGCAGTAGCCACGTTCATTCAGAGTTTAACGCCATTAAACTCGGCCGCCAACCCCATCATATATTGCCTTTTCAGCACGTCATTTTGTAAAACTGTACGGTGAGTAGGAAATATCGAGATTGTCAAACTTTAAATTGTGCTGTACTGCGTTTTCAATGAAGTGGAGGCTTTGAGAACGTTTACATCAATGTTTTAGTATTAACATTTGTTTTCTAAATGAATATTTTTCTGGTTTTTCAAATATGAATATTACCTTCTTAGTTCAAACAAATATTGCCTTTTAGTTGCAATTAAATATTGTCATCTTTTTCTAAATGTTACTCTGTTCAAACGAATATTATCGTCTTATGTCAAATAAATATTGCCATCTAGTTGCAATTGACAGAATTACACATATTAATAGTTAAATAGTTTATTAAAAAGGAAGATGTTACTTAATCAAATTCATAACAATAATATAAATAAAGGCGTACAACACAACGAAAAAAAATTGAATACACGTTGCAATATTGCTAACTTATTTGTAGCCTAAATAGATTCCAGTACCAACAGCAATTATTGTCATCTTTTCACAAATATTGCGACTATTTAAAAAAAAAATACTATCGTTAACTGCAATACTAACGATGCAAAATCGCGTTACAAAAAGAGTCCGTAACGATCCCGAATCTTCTTCCACAGAAATATGCAGGCGATCTCATGGGTCTCGGGATGGTGCGCGACGAATCCCCATCACTGTTTCGGCACCGGTGGTCCTAACAGTAGCAGCAGAACCACGGTGACAACATCGCTGACAGCGCATTCTTCGCGAAGAAGCGGTCACATCGCGATGCTACACTCCACCACCAGAAAACGAGTCATGGTATCTTTAGTATAAAAAAACGAACGGCGCGAGTCTGTTTCCTGTCCAATAACATCAAGTCTCCTGCCTAATGAGAGCCTCTTCGAAGCTCCACGAGACAACGAGTATCGAGGTGGGTATCCACTTGTTACATGTACCCTGCGTATCGTCATTACGTCCCTGATATGTTAATGACTTCTTTGTTTCTCTTATCGGGAAGACTTTAATACATTCAGAGAAACTTGCCTGACTTTTTACTTTTTTTAATTGTCATTTTTTTTAGTTGTCATTTAAGGTGGACTTTTTGTCATTTCTTTTGTATCGAATTTTGATGTACAAACCTCGTCTTGTGCGACAAGTGTATACTCACCTTAGCGTCTTCAAAATTATGTCCACAATTTGCACTGATGGAAACGCTTTTTCTGAAATGTAATTTCTACTTCTCTATCGTAATGAACCAATTGAACATTGGTATATTTCGTTGCTGTATGAAGCAGTTATATGACACATCGAAAACATAATTTAGAAGACGATGTTGAACATAAGTACGTGGTCTGTTGCGAAAATAATGAGACTGAATTTTTTAAACATAGAAATCCTGCATACAGTGACATTTATTTCTGTTCATTTTTTTTTTATTTAATAATTCTATTGTATTTAATGTTGTGTTCATCCATAGAATGATCCATTAATATTCTTTCGATGAAAGGAATAAAAATGAAATTTATGTTAACAAATGAAAGTTGTGGCACACATGACAAAAGATATCAGTGTCATTACTTTTCCTGCACACCACGTACATGTAAAATAGATTTTTTATTTACGTAATCAGTATTTCAGGCCTGACGTGTCGCCCAATGTCTTTCATCTTCCATCGCACTGTGATTTTAATCTACGAAATTTTTATACAAAATTCGCAGAGTTTTAACGATTTACCGCTCGAAAGTCTTAGAGCGCTTTTAAGTTGTACGTAAATAAAATTTAAGTAACCTCAGAAGTTAAGATGATAATGGAGTATCAGAAAGTTTGAAACACACTTGTGAACAGTTTTGGAAGATTTCATAACCATCAAGGTTAATAATCGAGAATATGTTAATTTCTCAATCTCGAAATTTTAAATTATATAATTTTAGCAGTTTTCTCATAAATGATGAAATGAACGAATTGATGATATCAATGTGTAGTAATTCAGGGCATAAAGATTTAATGCGTGGAAATTCGGGATGTAGAAATTCTAAGCGTAGAAATTCGACGCGTTGAGAATTTGATGTAAGGAAATTTGGCACGTTGAGAATTCGACACGTGGAAATTTGGCGCGCTGAGAATTCATCGCGTGGAAATTTGGTGCCCTGAGAATTCCACGCGTGAAAATTTGACGTGTTAAAATTCGACGCGTGGAAATTTGGCGCGTTGAGAATTCCACGCGTGGAAATTCGGCGCGTTGAGAATTCCACGCGTGGAGATTTGGCGCGCTGAGAATTCCACGCGTTGAAAATTCGATGCGTGGAAATTTGGCGCGCTGAGAACTCGACGCGTGGAAATTTGACGCTCTGAGAATTCGACGCAAGGAAATTGAGCGCGCTGAAAATTCCATGCGTGGAAATTCGACGCGTGGAAATTTGATGCGCTGAGAATTCGACGCAAGGAAATTTGGCACGCTGAGAATTCGACGCGTGGAAACTTGACGCGCTGAGAATTCGACGCCCAATATTTTTCACAATCTCCGCCATCGTAATATTTATATTTCGTAAACTCCTTTCTATAATCTCCGTATGTAGCCGATCATAAAAATTTATGATCGAACTAGGTTGACGCTGCAGTCAAAGTGCTAACAAGCACTCCGAGACTTTCAGGGCGAGATCGTAAAAGCCGTAACCGAAATTCGATTTAACGATCCCGTTAAATAATGCAGAGCCGTTAACGAAGCGTTAGACGTTCACAAAGATTCAGGAGGATGAAAGGAACATTAGTCTGGCAATCGATCAGCCTACGTTGGAAAATGATACGCTCAAAAGTATGTACATATATACATAACGAATGAACGACAGCTTCGTGTATA